GAGTCTTAGATTTGTCAAGATACAATAACTATTGTAAATGAGATTTTTATCTTGCACATGTATCTATTTTACACATAGAGCAGCACACTTACCATTTAATGAAGGTTGCAGAGTAGCACAGTTTCACAGCCTTTGATTATAAGAATATTTTTAAAGTTGCCTAACCAAGGAAAGGCACCTCGGCTGGCTTTCTTCAACCATGTCTATCATTCGCTGGTAGAAAGGAGAAATTAAAGATTGTGTGGACATTTGGGCCCCGATGGTGACTTGTTTTTATTTGCTTTGTTTGTTTGTTGACATGTTTTGTTTTCTTACCTGAATACAGAAGGATTCTTTATTTCTTTTTGACTCTAGGATTCAAATTTCATTCTGGATGTGGCTTTGAATTTGTCTTGATTAGAACATAATTTGATCCTTTATTTTTTAGTTTATTCTTTTCACATGTCTCATTGATGATGATTTCCATGTCAGTTTCTTACTTACAGTTCCTTAGAAACCATTATAATTAGATTATTTTTTTCCTGGCCCCTGGATCTATAGTCCTTTTTTCTCTGTTGATCTCTTGGGATTGCTCACCATCTGTTTCAGTGATTGGATTTCTTCTATGCATATCTTGTTTCTAATTAATTAATTTTCGTATTTAAGATTTCTATACAGTATATTTTGATCATGTCCTTCGCCATCCCTTGGCTCTCCCCAGGGCTTCCCCACCAACACAGCTTCTTGTTCTTTCTCTCTATCCTCACCCCTTTTTTCACGTGGGTAGTCATTCCCGACAGCTCTGTCTTCAGAGTCTGCACAACCATTCTTTGGTTTTCTTCAACTATAATCTCCTTTAGTCCAGCTGCTCTTAAAAATTGATTCATACCTTTGTCTTTCTGCTTTTGATTTTAGAAATCCTGTCTTCTTCATCACATTAGGAATGTGAAATATTTTCTGGAAAATAACTTCTGGTTTTTGTAAAGAGAGTGCTGTGGCTGTTTAGCTGCTGTTTGCTTGCTACACACAGTCTCATTTGGTAGATTCCTGCCAGTATTTAGCTGTAATTGTTGTTGCTGAATCGCGAAAGATCTCTCCAGATCTGCTCATGGTCCTATTCTCTGTCCCTTTGTTTTTTAGTAAAAATCTCTTTGAAGTCTTTGGTGAAGTAGCAGGTTGACATTTGTAGGTTCTGACATGTTTTCAGTGGACTGAGAGATTTTTCAGATAAATTCACTATCTCCAGTGCTGTTCACTGTTATGTATATGAGCTATGGAAGGGCTCCAATTCCTGATATGCAGCGCTTTCAAAAATCATCTTGTCTCAGAATCTTGGTTGCATCTGAAACCACCAGGGTACAGAGTACTTCCCCTTCTTTCTAGCTGTAAAAGGAAGGAGCAGTCACAAACTGATGTAGTTGGGGGATTTTCCTGCTGCCCCCAAATGCATCATCAAGCTTAGATTTCTGGCCAAGATGACCAACAGTGAAGTAACCCAGACCCATAAAGATGAACATGCTATGTACTCACTTATAAGTGGACACTGGCTGTAAAGCAACGAATATTGAGCCTATAGTTCATGATCCTAGAGAAGCTAAGTAACAAGGTGAACCCTAAGAAACACATACATAGATCCACCTGGAAAAGGGAAATAGACAACATCACTTGACAAAATTGGGAGCATGGGGATGGGGGAGAAGGAAGGATTGAAGGGAAAGAGGAAAGGAGAAGGAGAGCAGGGAGGAGAACTTGAGGGAGCGGGATAGTCGAGGTGGAAGAAGGACAGAGATGGAGCAAGGAAAGAGATATTTTGATTGAGGCAGCCATTATGGGGCTAGCAAGAAACCTGACACTAGAGAAATTCCCACAAGGATGACCCCAGCTAAGACCCTAAGCAATAGTGGAGAGGGTGCCCCAACTGGCCTTGCCCTGTAGTCAGATTGATGACTATCTTAAATGCCACCATAGAACTTTCATCCAGCAAATTCTGGAAACAGAGGCAGAGACCCTCAGTGGAGAACTGGGCCGAGCTCCTAAAATCCAGTCGAAGAGTGGGAGGAGTAAGAATATGAACAAAGAGGTCAACACCATGATGGGGACACCCACTGAATCAGTTTACCTGAGTTAATAGGAGCTCACCAACTCCAGCTGGACAGGGAAAGGATCAACATAGGTCCACGCTACCCTCTGAATGTCGCTGGGGCCGACAGTGGGGCCACTGGCAGTGGAACCAGAATTTATCCTTACTGCTGGTACTGGCTTTTTGGGAATCTATTCTCTTTGAATGGATACCTTGCTCAGCCTAGATAGAGTAGGGAGGGCCTTGGACTTCCCCCAAAGCAATATGCCTCACCCTCTCTGAGGAGTAGATGGGGGGTGGGGTTGGTATGTAAAATGAAAAAAAAAAAAAGATAGTTCGTTTAAATTTTAAAAAAAGGAAAGTAAAGAAATTATTTTTAAAAAAGAGTGTGGAAAGGGGGTACAAACAGAAAGATAACTTTCCTGCTTCTCTAAAGAGCCATAATTAGTTTAATGTTATCTCTATTTCTCTATTACCTTAAAAAAAAGTGTCTGTGTGTGGCGCTCATGCAAACACGTTTGTGTTTAGGGAGTGGGGGCAGGGTACAAACTCAGGGATGCTGTCTCTTTGAGGTAAAGTTTCTCCACGACTTGGAGTTGATGAGTCAGACTAGATCAAACTAGACTGTCAAGATCCAGCAATCTCCGGTTTTCAGTTTGGTTGGGAGGTTTATTCCGTTCCTTTGGCCTTCCCAGCACTGGGGTTACAAACACAGAACACCGTGTCCAGATTTTTTTCCATGAGTTTTGGGTGTTAAGCACAGATCCCCATAATTTTAGGCAAGTACTTTACTAACTGAGGTATCACCTTAAGTCCTCTAAAACCCCTTTTAAAATCTAATTTTATTCTCTTGCTGTTTTAAGAATCCTTCCCTGCTCCTAGCAGGAGGACAGAAGTCAAGGCTATCCTATTATATGTCACTTTCCCTGTCTCTTCCTAGAGCTATTCTGTTGAAAGTCCGGGGAACAATAAACAAGCTTGCAGCCATCATTTAAAACAGTAGCTTATATGAACCTCCATAGTTAGAGTATTTTTTTTTGTGTTGCAAAATGTTTGCAAATTCTGCTTCCTGCAGATATTTTGTGGAAATAAGAAGTCTGCCTTGTAAATATTCATTGCAACTTGTTATTCAAATAGGGTAGGCATCAGTGTTCCTGTACTAGAGCCCGTGTCTTATGAAAACTGGGTCATGTTAGTGATAGACTAAAATGCAGACGCATAGATGATGATAAGAATTCCAATGACTTCTATAAAATTTTTATTGTACATAAACTGTCTGATCATTGCCTACTAACAATGGTCAGAATTGAGACAGCTGTTATAAATCATTCAGTAGAGCAGTTTCAGATTTAGTTGTCTCCAGAGGCCAGAAAAAGCAAGCAAGTTCTTGAGGTACGCTGGTTCAGTGTAAGAGGGAAAGAAAGGGACTGAAATAAATGTTACTCTAAAGATGACCAAATCCTTGAATTACCATTATGGAATAAACTTATTCTTCCCTGAGAGAGAGCTGAGGTCAAGGGGTATTAGCAGATTTGCCCCAAATGAAAAGATTCTGTGTTGTTCATCAAAGCTAACTAATCTGCAGGGTTCATTCAAGATAAAAATGGGGGATTGTTTGACACTTATTTGGAATTCAGTATGGTGATAGCAAAGCATTAGGTCAGGCTGAACATGGCCCATGTCAGTCTTGGTTTTAGGTTCTGATGTAGAATTTGTTCCCAAGATGGAAAGAAACACAGAGGCAAACGTTCACCCGTAGCCACCAAGAAAACTGATTGTGTCTGGGGGTGAAGTCCGTTTTCGCTGTTCACACTACGTGTATGCGCCATCCGTCCTTACAGGAGGATGTCCACATGAGGCTAGAGTCTGTGCTTTTCAGGTTTGTTGCAAGACTTTTTGAATTCCTTCTCCTCCTGTCGGTTTTTGTTGTTCCTTCCTGAATTCAGGTCTTTATGAGTTACTTGTTGAAGACTTTCAACTCTGAAGTTCAAAGCTCTTCTCTAAATGAGGTCTGCCTTAGATTTCAGAACGTTGGAGAATGGACCAGCCCAGAAATGCCTCTGTCTGTAGAAGTCTGGGGATGCTTGTGTCTGTTGGTGGTCAAAGCCAGTCGTCAGCCGTTTCCTGGCTCCTTAGCATTCTTTCTCCGCTGAATGTAATTCTTCCTTCTTTCGGATAATTTTATGTATCATTATAACCATCTCCTAAAATCTGTCACTTATTTTACTTAAATTTTTTTTTAGATTCTTTGCCAACAGTTTGTCTTCTGATGGTATAAAGGTGTCTAGTTTTTTCTTGGGTGTTAATCTATAAGCTCTCATCCAAGGTCCTACCAACCTAGTAACCTGATAAGTACAGCTGAGTGAATCCCAGCCAGTTTTTAAAAGCATGATATTCACATTCAGAGAGATGGTTCGAGAAAGGGGTGCTTATGGCACAAACTCAGCTGAGTTGTGTCACTGGAGCCACACACACACATAGTGCACACATGACCACAGATACAAACACATGGACACATACATGTGCCCATGTGCGCATGTGCCTGCACCTGTACACACACACTTTTTAGAAGTTTTTATTGCATGCAAGAAGTAAAATTGGGTGTTGAGTACTAGGGTAGGGTGCTTTTTGTAAATAAAAACGTAAATACTTTCATTTGGTGAACCTCATTCCTTCATGTGTGTTCAATCAGAGAAAACTGACAAGTTGGGAAGGAAGAAAGGCAGCTGGGCAAGTTTGATAACTTACAGAAAGAAAGGTTGTGAATAATAGTTAATATTTATTCCCTAACACCATACAAAGGGTTGTTCATGTTTGACGAGTGACTTTCACCAAATTCATTCCTTGTTTAAAGGGATAGAAAATTAACTATTTCCTCACATATTTCAGGTCTACTATGAACTATGTGAACTGATTGTCTTAATTTCTTAATCTTCTACAGGTGGAGATTTTCCTTTTCCCTCTATGTATTTAGCTACGGAGTCCGGTTCTTGAAGCAGGTAGGCACTGTCAAATTCATATAATTCTTATGTGTCCAGAGACCTATTTCTAATTTTTAATACATAACAAGATTTTAAATACTTTAACAACCTTCCGAAGAACTATTTGAACATTTCAGTTTGATTTATAAAAACGATCACATAACATTCACCTAGACATGTGTCTGAAATGCTCTGAGAAACAGTTGGTTTCTCAGCAAGGATGTGGTGTCTTCAGTGTACTCTGTCTGGTGACTGCCTTTCTTGCCGTAGAACTTGTAACGTCAGCTGATTCTGTGAAAGAGGCTAGCACTTCAGCGTTGCTTGTCACATGACCTGAACACTCTGGGGGCTGCAGTGGGTGCTATCACTGTAACCCCTCCAGTAGAGATTGCTGGTTTAGAGTCTTGCACAGTACGTAGCAGGGTGGAGCCAACTGCTGGTGCTAAGGGCTGCATGAACTGGGACCCATTGAAGTATGGAAATCCTTTATCAGGCCTAGTCTCCTGCCTGACAGCCGCCATCCTTACTGGTGTTACTGATAGATCAGGGTGCTTACGTTCAAGGCTCAAAAAGATCTATCTTCTCATATTCTTCTTTGTGTTAACAATGGTAGCTTGGTATAAAAATGGAAAGTTCATTTTCAAAGTACTTCATACTGTTAACCTCCAAAGTAGTATCGGTGTTTTTTAAATTATAAAAAGATCTCTAAAATATGGTATAGGCCAAGTAGCATAAGTTACCAGCAAAGCTCATAAATATTGATGTGACATTTTCAAACTTGTTTTGTTTTTAAAGTCTGAATTATCAGATATTGTCTGCCGGTGGAATCGCTCTTATAAAAAGTGATCACTTTCCCCTGTTAAAGCCCCCGAGGAAGTCTTTTCACTGCCGTCTCCTCGGGTGACTGTGCTTGTTGGTTGGCTTCTTTTCACTTAATAAGACTGTATGGTCCAGGGCCATCGGAGTAAATTTAGATGGATGAACTTCACATTCACAGTGGAGAAATTTGCAGCTGGAGTAAACAGGCGTAGCAGGAAATGCTTCATCTGAACCCTTATATGTGCGTTCTCAGACTTAGCGAGGAAAATGGAGTGCGCATAGGCATTTTGTGCTTCCCTGGAGGAGATCGCTGTAGATAGAACTGGAGGGGATGTGACAGATTCAAAGGAAGTCGCTGACAGTCCCACGGTTTGGGGGTTCAGACTTGCTTCTGCTGGTTGAGGTTTTGATGTTGTAAGGACGAGATGGTGGGAGCCGGGACCACTCTTGTCCTGTCCCCTCCTTTTGTTGGATAGTTTCCATTGTCCCTCACATGATATGTATGGCCATCTGATACCAGAACAGGAAGCACGCTGACATAGATCTAGTTCATTCTAGTTCATTCTGCCCCTACACAAACTGAATGGCATGAGGATACCTTTTGTCCAGACTGACCGGATCGAGAGTGGAAGGCCAATGGACCATGCAAGGCCATAAAGAAGCTTGTCAATAGAATGTTTGCTTGGGTGTTTTTTTTTTTTTTCTGAAACTTCTCCATTTTATACTAGTTTCCTTTCAGGGCATAACAAATGCTTTAAAGATGGCAAAAGACCAAGACATGCTCCGGTCCAGTAAACTTGTATTGAAGTTCTTTCTTTAATGCTTTCAGCATTCGTTCAGATGCACCATTCGGTTTAGCTGCTGTCATGGGAGACAGAATTGTGTGTTGAATCCATGTTGTCAAAATACCTGAGCAGAATTTGCAAGTGCCTTGTCAACCCCCTGTTTCATGGTCACGAAAGTACAAATTCAGAGAAGGTGGGTAATGTTCTGAAAGTCACCTGAAAGTTTACTAACGGTGAACCTCAAATTCAGCACGCACCACTGTGTCATACTCCTGGCCTCTCACTTTCCCGGGCTGCGCAGTTCCCACACAACTTCTTCCTTTGGTCAAGTCAACTAAATGGACTAAACCAAGTCCTTATTCCCGTATGAATAACTTAAAAGCTTAGATATTTTAAATAGTTTTATGAACTTGGAAAAGACAGTATTATTTACTTGTCTCCAACCAAGAGGAAAAAATGTGGATGCAACCGCAAAATTAAAATGAAAATTTCATAATATTGTAAATATTTTAACATAGAGTCAATACATTGTACTAAAATAGCCTAAGTTCACCTTTGTGTTTTTCCAGATAGTGTAGTAGGAAAATTCTCAGAATAACTGAGCAATGAACTAATTTTCATTCCAGTATCAGAAATATGGACTATTCCCTGGCTTGTAGAAAAAGGTTTGGCAATCTACACTGTCCTGTTTCCCTCCGTCCTTCTTTGGATCAGACAGATCAGCTGTAGCTTATCTTCAGGGGAAACTGAGTCTCCTCTCTGTCCTAAACTTAGACAAGTCAAGACTGTGTAGCATGTGTCTTACAGACATCTAAGTAGGCTGCTGTGTTAAGCTATTGCTATGATGAGAAATGACTAAATAGTTTTTTGAATATTTTATTGATTTTTTTTATTGAGCTCTACATTTTTCTCTGCTCCTCTTCCTGCTTCTCCCCTCCCCTTCAACTGTCCCGCAAGGTTCCCATGCTCCCAATTTACTCAGGAGTTCTTTTTTTATACTTCCCATGTAGATTGGATCTATATGTAGATAAGATCTTAGTGTCCTCACTGTTGTCTAAATTCTCTGGGACTGTGATTTGGAATGCATAAGTAGTTTGATGTAAGCCCAAGTCCGGCTGTTTCCTGGTCTTTAGTTGCTGCCCCTGGGTGGGTCCTCCCACACGTGACTGGCAGAGACAAATGCCTTTGTAAAAGGAGGTTCTGAGTTCCCTGGGCTGCTCCCAAAGTCCTGCAGCAAACTCACACAAATTGGCATGCTATCTAGGGTCCTGAAATAAACCAAACCATTGCCCAGCATTGGGTATACATTTGTATTCCCATCACTGAGGAGACTGAGGCAGGAGGATGGAGTGCTAATAGCCTGTCTGGACTATTGGTTTTGTTTGGTTGGCTGGTTTGGATTTGGCCACTTTTAGATGGAAATTTGTTTGGCTGAATACTAAAAATATTTTTAAATTTCATGTTTTATCTTTTTAACATCACAGAAATGTAACACACACACACACACACCCACACACACCCTTTACTAAGATATAGATAAAAAGAATTTCCTAGAATCTGTAAGTTAGGCTAGTTTGTTTCCAGCTTGTAACCATTTAATGTCATTTTTGTATCATGATCCATTTTGTAAACATGCATGCATATAACTAAAAGTAAAACTGTTGAACAAATCACTATATCTAACTTCTGTATCAAAACCTGATAAAAGACAGAAAACACAAGAAGTATATTAGGAGTTACTATAATACTTAAAAACAACAACAACAAAATGATTGCTCATGGGGAGCCACTGAGGCTGTGTAAATCGAAGCAGCTGGATGGCTAGCAACGAACACCACCATGCGATGAGAAGCTTGCAGCCTGGTTGGGAATCAACTCACTGCTCCTTTTTAAGACCGTCTGCCTTTGCAAACAGTGTAGTCAGTGATGTCAATCAGTGTACACGATGGTGTAAACACCTTTGCTATTGTGCATTGATAGCAAACATCTCAAGGACTGGCCTTTCCTTAGTACTACCCTGAAGGTAGGAATGGCGAGAAAACACTAATACTCAGGATCAAGAAATTGGGGAAAGGAACTGAAAAGTACAGGGAGCCCGGTAAACTTTCTGAGGAGGGGATGCTGGCTAGCCGGTGTCCTGGAGAGGAAAGCTGGCCCTGTTGTTGCCATGGGGTAAAGGTGTATCACTGGCAAGATAGTAACAACTGAAAGAAAACCAGAGTAGACCAAATTCCATCTCCCCCTGCCGCTTCCCAGTGTCATAATGTTTCTGAGAGGTCAGACTGGGCAAGACGCTGGCACTGTGGAGCCAGCAGAAGTGTGGTTTGCAGAATCCAGCTCCGAGCCGAGAACAGTATCTGGGTAACCAGTCTAACCTCCCGATGTTGCCCCTTTACGTCATGTGCTCTGCTAATATACTGTATTTTTTTATTATTTGTAAAATACACTGTTGTAGGGACTGGGGAGATGTCTCAGTCCATAAAACGCTTGCCACAAAAGTATGAGGACCTGAGTTTGGATCCTCGACCCCCATGTGAAAATCTAGACATGTATGATGCTGCACCCTTGCAGTCCCAGCACAGGAGAGGCAGAACCGGCAGGATCCCTGGAGCTCGCTGGTCAGCTAGCCTTGTCAAATCCACAAGTTCCAGGTTCTTCCAAGTGGGAGACCTTGTCTTGAAATAAAAAATGGAGGACAGAAGACACCTGACATTGACCACCGGCCTCCACATACATAGAGACACGTGTGACGATACACCTGCACACAGTCATGAGCATGAACACAAGTATACAGCACACACCAAAATACCTGCTGGCTGCTCTCTATTGTATCACTTGATGACTAACCACTAAACCGTGCAGTTGAAAAGTACTCCTCCAAACTCTTCTTGTTGTCCATGCCCTTGAATTTCTTGAATCTGACTCGAACCGTGGCCCTGCCTTTCGTGGTACATGTGGCCATAGCCTATGATGCTGGTCTTTTGTTTCCAATTGTTATCTTTGGCTTACTGGTCAACTTGGAATGCTTCTGAAATAGAATTGTCATCTGTTTGTCTGTTTGAAGGTGAAAATAATATTTGACCAGTTGTTAGAATATCCATTTACAAGTTTGTGTGTGTGTGTGTGTGTGTGTGTGTGTTATTTTTTCAAATTGTGAAATCGTCTGGACACAGTCACTTATTTAAGGAAATCTGAATTTTATTTTTACCTTTGACAATGGCCCATTCTGTGCTGTATCAGAAGTGCACTTAGCAAGTTGGGCCGATGATGTCTTGGTGGTTAAAGTGCTGGCTGTCCAAGTGCGAGGACCCGAGGAAAGCTCAACACAGGACAGACAGAAAGCCAGACTCGGTATAGCATGGTCATTCTCCCAGTGCTGCTACCGGGCAATGGCAGGCAGAGACAGGTGACTCC